TGGATGCTCTGAGACAGAAGTGAGCAATGCGTGGACAAGACAAGCTCACTCGAGACAGGTGCCAATAAATGCCTCTCGCAATGGCCTCACATTTGCATTTTCACAGACATGCTTGTTTTCTACCAGCAGTTTCCCTATGCCTGATGAAGGGGGTTTGTATCTGAAAACTTGCAAAGAACTTTTCTCCAACTATTTAGTTGGTTTAACAAAAGATATTGCATCTACCCCAAAAAACTCATCTGCCCTCATAATGGGCAATTCCAGGCAATTCTGGGTCCTAAACTAGCCATAAGCCTCCCCAACACCAACCACCCGGGAATCACCACAGGCAGCATCCCTGCCTGAGCAGCACAAAACCTCAGACCAGCCCTTCCCTGCCTCCATCAGCCACCTCCCGCGCGGGCAGCTGGGTCCCTTCATCCCCGATGTGTGAGGAACAGAAAGGGCTGGAGAAAGGCAACAGACACTGGAGAGACACCAGGGAAGGAGAGAGCTGCCACTTCCACACGGGACAAAACCAGGCTGGACAAAACTTATTTCAGTTTGGGCCAAAGCTGAACAAATGCTTCAGATCAACTGGAGCGATTTCCCCCAAACAGAGAAAACCGTTTCAGGCCCGAGGAAAACTTCCCCTGGCCATCGCTACGTCCTCTCTCAGGTGCAAATGAGGCCGGCCCTCAGAAAGTCGCAGGTAGTGCAGCCCCTGCTCTGGGCAGGAAGTGTCTGTCTAACCTACTGAGACAGCTACAGCAGTCAGCTACGAGGCATGCCACCCAAAACACTGCGCCGATTTGACTGTGGGATAAAATTCCTTTCTGACCCTGAATGCAGCACTGGTCTGATCCTGAGCGGAAGAGAAGACCCGCTAACCAGGAACCTCCAGGTTACATATAGTCTCTACAGGCGCGTTGGCACACCCTATTCAAGATCCCCCGTGCTGGCTGTGGCCAACACCCAGTGCCTCTGAGGGAGGCAGAAAAAATCCCTGACACGTAGGAACAGGAGTGGAGAAAATTCCTTCCCAGCTCCATGGGGCAACCTGGAAAGCCCAGAAACCCGGGAAAACTCAGACACCTCTGTTCTGCCCCACAGCCTGGAGCACGGAGATGGGGCAGGGACATGACCCTGGGTCTGCCCTGACTGCCAGCCCCTGGGATGGGCCAGTCCAGACCCGGCTCGGCCCTTCTGCCGCGCGGACCGCTTGCTGCCCCAAGATCGGGGTCTTGACAGCGCTGGCGGTGTGCAGGCACCAGGCCAGACGTCCACCACGGGCGGAAAGGTCCACACGACCTGCCAGAAGTCCCACCCAGGGGACGATGCACAAGTGTCTGCACTGCTGGGCGACGGGCCCTGAACACCGGCCGGCCCTGCAGCCGCTTCACGTACACGGTCAGCACGTCAAGCTGTGGCTGTCGCCGTGGCCGTCTCCTCCTCCGTCCCTGGACGAGTCGTGGAGCTCAGCCTGGCCACAGGGGCCGCCACGGGCAACTGCCTGGACAAGCCACCAACTAAACCCTTCATACGGCGACGGTCGCCGACACAGCCCCGGCCCGGCCCAGCCCGGCCCAACGCGCTGCAGGTGCCGAGCTGGGGCGCTGCGGGCCGGGGCAGAGGGAGGGCAGGGCAGGGCAGGGCAGGGGAAGGCCAGGGCCGGGCGCTGACCTTGGGCAGCTCGCGCAGCTGGTTGGCGTCCAGCAGCAGCTCCTCGAGCGAGCGGCTGTAGCGGTACACGTCCTCGGGCACGGCCTGCAGCGAGCAGTGCCGCCGGTCCAGCGTCTCCACGTGCCGGTTGCAGCGCCACAGCGGCGGCATGCAGCGCAGCATCCTCGC